TGTGGTTAAAAGTGGTTGTGTAGCGGGTTGTATTTGAGGTATCGTTCTTGCGATGTACTGATGTTAAACTTTGGGAGTAGCTCCAAAAGTTTCACTGAGCTGTGGTACATAGTTTATGTTATAGAATATCGTGCACCCAATGACTAGAATCACCTTGTATGTAGCGAATATATTTTTGGCTCACTACTTCTTACTCTGTTCAGCTGTTGTTGTAAACAAGACTTTTACTTAGGTAATTTCCCAGTAGATAGTCTTTTTACATTTTCCTAGTGTGCCTTGTTTACTCACAAATAATTTTTTTTTATTGCTTTGATTTACGTTCTTGCGTTGATTTATTTTTAAGCCTACATTTACTGAATTTTTCCACGATTCATCAGTGTAATGTGAAATGTATTGGCAGTTGCCCGTTCGCTCCTCAGTGCAATTAGACAGCAACTTTTGCCCTACTCGACGAGGCAAAAGAAATACGAAAAAATATTTTCAAAAAGAGACTTCCTGAGTACCCAGTAACGATTTAAAATTTTCGCCATTGTACTCTCGGTTTGAAGGGTAATCAATTTTTTTTTATTCATGAATTTTCAGGAGATATTACATACACATATGAAAAGTGACAAATAGGAAAGTAAAAACATAAGAAAATATGCGAGGGACACAACGAAGAAAGGATGGGGGGAGGGTAGATGAGAGAAAAAAATGGAACTCGCTGAAACATCCCCTCAATTTGCAACATGAACTTGTTCAAAAACAAAACAAAAAACTTATGGATTTTTCTTAAGACGATCTTTCAACTAGTGTGTTTAAGGGTATCCAATATTTAAGAATCTTTTCCGTCTGACCTTGGCGTTGCGCCAGTAGCTTTTCTTGCTCATACAAGTCCTTCAGCTTGTACAAAAAAGGGGTCAATGTTGATGGGATTTTTTTTCATTTCTACAATTATAGATATAGTATTTGATTCTGTTTTGATTGTGCACTAAGATTGAGTTTAGTTCTCCTGGGCCCTCATCACATCCAAAAATGCACTCAATCGCATTCGGGTTTCTTGAGAGGCAGCTTTTAGACCAGTCTGATTGATAGAAGTGACCATTGCTGTTTCACTAGGACGCAACCGTAAAAAATATGTTTTATGGTTTCAGGGTGTCTTTTACAAAATTTTTTTTATCTTCATAAGCCAAGAGTTTACCACGAGTATTCTATGTTACCCCATATAACAGAACAGATGTCCGTGAAGGCCTTTTATGCCCACACCGATAGAAAAGGGTGAAGCTGTTACTCCAGTAACCGCAACAAAAACGTTTTTCTTATTGTCTGAGACAACATGAAAGTGTCCATGACCAGGTCCACGCAAGTCCATCTCCACTTCGAGTGGCTCGATCATGTCCTTATGTCCAAGTTAGTATGGTATAGTCTGACGAATAGCACTTGGCCGTGACCGATTAGCCCCACCTTACCCTATCCTGTCTCCGTTTCCTCGGATTCTTCACTGGTTTCATGGGAATTGGCGCATTCCTCTCTCTGCAGAGAGGAATGCAAGCCTCGTGCAAGCCAACATATCATGATATGTTGGCTTGCACGAGACTTTTTACTAGTTCAAGGAAAAAAAAGACTCCGTCAAATCAGTCAAATCGAGTAGTCCTTTACTCGATTCCCAATCTCGCTTCAGATGCATCCAGATGATGAAGGCATTGAGGACGTTGACGTCGAGAAAGTTGCAAAAGATCATCGTTGAAACTTTCGCATCTGTCAAAGAGTGAAACCACGATATCTTTGCAATGCGATTACATTTGAGCCCATTTGTGAGAAATGCAATCAGAGGGATGAGGTGTGATCAAAATGTTATGCAACAAAAAATTCCTGAAAGTATAGCATCGGACAGCATCAGAATCGCAGGCTCTCTATCCATAGCGGTTCTTGGGCATTCTTCAGAGATTTCAAATGAACCTTAATCTGTCAAGAAAAATAAATCACATCATCAAGGAAAATGATGTACGCACGACTTAAATACATTCGGAAATAGGAAAGGATTTTAGTCACCAACACTTTCACAATGAGACAGATTTCAAACTTTTTGGGAAGCAATGGGGCAGAAAACAATCTCAATCCAAATTTGGTCAGCACATTCTTGGGAAGATCTGAATGGTTCTGAATCGCAGGCTTTCCTCCGATCCATGCCGATTCTTTGGAAACATTTAGGCCCCAATTCGCACAAACCTCATTTAGGCGAGATTGAGGCGAAGAGCTCTTTTTCCTCCATAGGATTCTATGTTTTCTCAAAGGACCTTTAACTAAAGGAGGTTTTAATATTCCGGCCATTAACTTCTACTACACATGTACTACCCACCAAGCTCTAATGTTGTTGGTTTATTTTTCTACCAGTCAGTTTCTCAATGAATTTCACGGGATCTTGCTTCGCTGGAAGTTTGGATGCCCAAGGAAGGTAGATCACTCAGAATCTGCTAAATGACGTAGATGCTTCTTCCTTCAGGAAGAAGTTGCTTTGCGTGTCCTTGGTCAAAATTGACCGTAGAGATCTGGGCATCCGAGAAATTCTGTGAATGAAACATTAATTGCTTTTGCTATCATATGGCATCCTTTTGTAACTTCATCTTTTCATTTTTTTTCTAGCTTGACGTCAGTTAAGGAATTGCCCACACCCTTGTCCATGAGAGTTGTCCTTGGTGTAAGAATACCAAAAAGTGTAAAAGAATGGAACCCTCATCGCGTGACGAACTGTTAGTAGGCAATCGTCGTGTATGTTTAACCTTTAACGTGCTAATTCTTTACCATCTTGCGGGCTATTTTCGACGGTCACGAACGGTCGTGAAAAAATTGTCTGATATCCTTAGTTATCCTTTTGCTGCATGAGAGAAAACTACTGGAGAGAACTTCAAATTTTGTCATACTCTCATTTTAGCAGCACAATTACTGAAAAACATGCCTATCTTGACGTATCAAGTTGATGCATGCATCAACTTGATACATGAAGCTGATACATCCCGATTAGCTTGCACCGATATAGCACTCCAAAAGCTTGTTCATAGTGCCTTCATAGTTTCCATCTTTGGCGATGGCCTATTTCCGAGACTATGTATTTGCTAATTTTTCCCCCCATTTTTTCCCTCTTTGCTCATCTCACATCAAAACTTTGTTCGATATTTCTGCACATCTTTAGGAATTTCATTGCCCCGTTTCGTTCATAAAAGTCTCCAGGATGACTGTTTTGGGAGATTAGTAAGACATCATAGCTGGTAATGAAATTGGGCATTTCCCCCCGGCACTGTTTCTCTGTGAATATCCATCTAACAACCTTGAAATTCATACCGATTTCATGCTACATGTTGTGCAGCTTATAGTTTTGGCTTATATGCCAAATTTCATTAGGATGGTACAACTCCTTTTTTGTGCATTTGTCACAGGTTCGGTGTGTGCTTCAACTATTTACTCTTCGGAGGCTAACAAATCTATTACGGTTATATGATGATAGCGATTCCTGTGCAATAAGGTTGGAGGAAGTAAGTGGTAGTGGGTGATTCGGACACAGGCGGTCTCGATCACATTGGCCAACGGCCTTATAGTACAGGAAGGATTCAAGAGTCCGTCACTGTACACCCTGAGCCTTTTAATCACAGGTTATTATCAGGTTGTGGAAAAAGTATTGTCGGTTTTTGGGGTGCCAACTTTGAAAGCTCATGAACGTCGTTGCACTTGTTTCATACCATGTTACCCACCCGCCAAATTACCACTTCTTCACGTCCCTTGACAATTTCTTGCGGGAGAAGCGCTTCACCAAACAGGGTGAGGTCGAAAAGGAGTTCAGTGACTTCGTCGAGTCCAGAGACCCCGAATTCTTCAAGTCCGGCATCAAAGAACTGGTTGAACGTTGGAAAAAGGTTGTTTAATCGGACGGTTTTTACTTCGATGAATAAAATTGACTCTGTGACGAGATATGGACTTCCAAAGCTGCGGCAAAAAAACCGACAATACTTTTCCCACAACCTGATATAACAGACCAACAGAGTGATTTAACAATTAAGAATAATGTAGATATGGGGCAATACACTTCTCACGTCCTGAGAGTGAGTGTTGAAGGATGACAGGACGAACATGCCCCTCACTGGGGGGTAGTCTCTAGAACAATGGTGCCCAACCTTTTCGGCTCGGGGGCCACATAGCCTACTCCCATAGTCATCGCGGGCCACATGCAGTCGCTAATACTGTAGGAGAATATTTTATGGAAACTCGTGGGTATTTATTGCAGCTCAAGCGTCTGTTTTAATGTGACTCCTGCACTTGCATGTCCGACGCCAATTTGTCGCTGGTTGCAGGTTACTAGTGGCCAGTCGCATCAGGCCAGCTAGGTTCATGTCCGTAAGGCGCGAACGGTGTTTGCTCTTGATAATTTTCATCGCCGAGAATGCTTGTTCACATCGGTAGGTACTCCCAAAGCGGTAGATGTATCGCTGAGCAAAATCACGTAAGTTCGGAAAATCATTCGGTGGCAGTATTTTCCAAAAAGATATCATTTGTTCTGCAGTTGGGACGCCAAGCATTTCGTTGAACCTGCTCTTGAGCACGGAGTAAGGCCTATGATTTCTAGCTGCAACTTCTCTTCCACCAACTCTATCTTCCCGTCAGAGAAGATAAACGTGTTTGTAAACAGCGTCACTTTGTCTTCTGCTTCGATGTCTTGAAATCGGGACTGAAATATCTCTTCCAGGGTCTCCAGTATCTCCTTGTACTTGTCCGTGTCGACTCCGGTTTCTGGTTCCCTCTCTTTTAAGTGTTTTTATGTGCTACTAGGGTACTTGTTCCATGCTGGAAATAGTGCTGGTTTTTGACTGGAAAATTGCAGATCCAGCAAAGAAACTAAACAAAACCTTGGCAAACCAATCTCGAGGAGTCCTCGCAGCTATAGCACCCTCTCCGTAAACGGCACAAATATCCCGAGCTGCTTCGGCTGCTTTTTGATTACGGCGAAACGCGAAATAAAGCAAGTGTCGAAAATGGGTTTTCTGGCCGCCTGGTATTTCCATTTCAAATGCCTGGAAGTTAAGTAAAATTAANGCGTTGTAGGGATCGCTGAAATCAGTTTAATTCTTCGATCAATTGGAACTTACCCAAGTAACACAGTATGTTGATGAAACGTTTCCGAAATGTAGCCTATGTTGCTCAATGTTGCAAGTTGATGTACAACATTGAGAAAACATTGCTTCAATGTTTTCACTTGGAATGTTGCGGCGACACTTCTACGAATATCATTGCAACATTTCCTATCAACATTGAGAGAATGTTGACATTCTTGACATCGACAACGTAGCGACAACATTCTGATACAACATGGACTTAGAAGTTTTAGAGAATTGAAAAGTTGTCCTCCTTGCTACGAGATGGAGACGTAAGTCTCGCTTTCTCACAGTACACACAAGTGCCCTTCTCCCTTTTCCTGGAATAGTCCCGCACAGAAATATGTCTAGTACCTTGCCATATGTCTCACATTGTCTCATTATAGGAATCAATGAACACGGACACTTCATCACTTGTTATCCTCATATTCCAGGCAGATTCATGGGGTCAAGATAAAAAAGCTCATATTCCCAAAAAGAACCCTTTCAAGAACTCGTCGGTTTCATCCTACAGGACAATAAAAGCGATGGTCGAGAGTGTGTAATCAACCCTACATATCCTCATCTTCAGAACAAGATGAGGAAAAGAAGGATTGATTTCGTGAACACTCCATAGAACATTGCGGTCGAACCTTTTCCTGTAATGTGCCATTTTGCACATCCAGGGGAAGATCACCTCCAAAAATGTACTATGTCTCCTGCCTGTATGATACAGATACTGTATTATGCATGGTTAGGGGAATACCAGTACAGGCTTTGTCCTGTTGATGAGAATGAATGTCTGGGTAGAGACTTAAAATATATGGTACGAAATGATGAAATGAATAATTTAATATTGGTCGAATATCGGTCCAGTTCAGGACCAGTAAAACCTATGCTTTTCCGTAATGCCAATATAGGCCCAGATTGGGTATCCGTGAAGCAACGTTTTTAATCAACATTGCAGCAACATAAATCCTGAAACGTTTCTGCAACATATGTATTGAATAAGTAACGATTTGAAACGTAAATGCAATGTTCCTTCGCAAAATTTGAGCAACGTTGACGTTTTGGACATTTACACATAGATACAACATTGTTCATCAACATTTCCTAAAGGTTGCTGGAATATCTTGTGTTACTTGGGTTTAGCACTACCACTACAGTCGTATCTTATAAAGCCATTGAGTGCCGCAACGTAGTGCCTTTGTTTTCCAAGACAACTGCAACAACGGGGGAATTAGCAGTCTCAACGGCAGCAACAATGTTATTGAATACGTTTTTGATAATCCACGAAATAAAAATGGAAATAAATTGGTTGCTTCCAGTTCTTGCCATCACCATCATCAGCTGCTTGTGAAGTACTGTAGCTTGTGAAGAATTGCATCTATATTGCCATCATAGCAAATCTGGTAATAATTTTGTATCTCGCTATAAGATAATCAGCAAATTAGCTCTTTTTCCGGCATGACTTCAGCGTAATACTGTAATACTCGAAGTTTACTTCACTGAAAGTCACTGAAAGTTTCCGAATGAGGACAGCAGAAAGTAACTTGACTTTATTAATGTATTACATCTTTTTATTGATAGTTTCTCTGAACATCGTTGCAACCTGGTGAACATTTGATTCATTGAGATTCAGAAGAAAGATCTAATAGACTAAAGAATAGAGAACCCCGCTATAGAATTTTCATGAAGTTCCTATAAGGTACTGTATCTACAGGGTCCGCCAAAAGTAGTGTAGGGATTTGTCTATTGAATAACTTCTGAAATATCGGTGATATTATTTTTCTCTTTTTTTTAGGTTGTAGAGTGGGCCTTAGAGTTTTATGATGAATCGTTGGACAGTCGAACTACATGCAGCAATTGTGGAGCTTTACTTTTTTAACGGACACTCCATCCTCGAAGCTCAGTGCGCCTACCATTGATGGTTTGGTTGAAGCACCTTCTGAACATGATATTCATTGGTGCATTGCACAATTTCGTGGTGGCGTTGCTGAACAGCCACAATCCAGAAGACCTCGCAGCAGCTGAAATTCGCAACACGAGACTGTTCACCAGGCAATTCCAGAAAATCAGTGCATTGTCTATCTCAGGAGTTAGGAATATCCAGAACATCACTGCATCGCATTTAATCGAATGAATTACACTTCTACCCACATAAAATTCAGCTTGTGCAAGATCTGCATGAATGGATGGAGTTCCTCACCTCGATGCACTGATTACTTGGGACTTCCCAGAATTACCTGACGAATAGTCTCTACACGTTGCGAACTTCTACAGTTATGAGGTCTTCTGGATCATGGTTGATTTGTAACACCTCCATTGGCATGAAAATGTGCAACACACCAACGAATAACATGTTCAGAAGGTGCTTCACAAAACCAAACCGTCGACGGTAGAAGTGCTGAGCTTCAAAGATGGAGTGTCTGTTAAAAAAGTAATGCTCCACAATTGCTGCATGTTGTTCGACTGTCAAACGGTTCATCATGAAACTCTAAGGCCCACTCTACAACCTAAAAAAAAGGAGAAAAATAATATCACTGATATTTCAGAAGTTATTCAATAGACAAATCCCTACACTACTTTTGGCGGACCCTGTATAAGCTCCTGCGTAGTTCATAGACAATAATATATATAATTTCACAGAATTTAATGTAACTTCTGTAGAATCCTATAGAAAGTTACAGGAAGGAATCTATGCAATGGATGGAGTATATATAATGTATATAAAATATACATCATGGATGGAGTAGTATATTTTATAGAATTGTAGAAAGTAACTGATTGGATTCTGCATGAGAAGTTGTACATATACTATAATCCTATATCCTATAATCCTATACTATAATCCTATATCCTATACAATCTTATAGAAAGATAAATATATGCATAAGAACTTGAACAGAACTATAAAAACTTCTCATTAAACGAGTAGATAACTGAATAAAATATATAACTACATAAGGAATACTTTAGGTATTCACATGGATATTCTACTGAATTTACATAGTATTTATGAGGGAAAAATTTAGAGCAACAATTAGAGGTTTGTGCAATAAGACGCATGGGCATCTGCAAATGACAATACCAATCTAGTTTATTTGTATTATTAAGGGCAGAGAAATTATCCTATTTCATATCAAATAGTCAAAGTCCGGTTAAATAAGTAAGTCAGGGTCAGTAAAAGGCAAGTTTCATGCTCAATATAACGTCTTGTGTCAAGGTCGGAGGTATTGGGTCGATCGGAAAGTTCTGGCCGTTTCGAGAATTTCTGGAACTTTCTCGAACCTTCCACAGTAGCAGGGTGTGTGGACGTGATTACGCAGCAGTTGCTTAGTCGTTCAAAGCCTATAACCATGACTTCCAAAATCGACTTTAACAAGACCGCCCAACGTCAGTGCCTTCTTTACTCCTTCCTATCTGGCATCACAGCAGCCGAATCGAGTCGCTGCATCTGCGCCGCGTTTGGCCAAGGTGCAGTTTATGAAAGGACAGCGCGACGATGGTTCGATCGTTTCCGGTCTGGAAATTACAGCCTGGATGATGAGTCCGGGTCAGGCCGCCCGTCTGAAATCGACGCCGAGCAGTTGCAGTACACAGTGGAAGCCGATCCGAGGCAAAGTACCCGTGACTTAGCGACAGCACTTGGCTGCGCCCAGTCCGCGATCGTGACGTACCTGGCTGCAATCGGCAAGAAGAGCAAGTTGGGTCAATGGGTACCCCACGATCCGACCCACCGCGACCGTGAACGCCGTGCTGAGGTGTGCACTTCGCTGCTGTCGTACGAGCGCACAAACGACTGGCTGGATTCCGTAGTCTCTGTAGACGAAAAGTGGATGCCGTACGTCAACTACCGACGCCCAGTGGGTCGATGCCGATGACCAGCCAGAGTCGGAGTCGAAAGGTGACCTGCACCCCCGAAAAGTCACGTTGTGCATTTGGTGGGACGTGCAAGACGTGATCGACTTCGAGCTGCTCCCACCCGATACCGGCATCACCGCCGCCTACTACTGCGATCGGCTGCAGAAGCTCGCCGACAGACTCCCCACGGTGAGGCCAAGGCACCGTCGTGTTCGATTCCTGCACGACAACGCAAGGCCGCATGTCGCGAAGATCACGCGGCAGAAACTGCCGGATCTGGGGTGGGAGGTTCTGCCTCACCCTCCGTATAGCCCAGATTTGGCGCCAACCGACTACCATCTCTTCCGCGCTCTGGACAACTTTCTCTTCGACATCTTCGCCAGAAAAGGTTCAACGATGACGGCGAGGTCGAAAACTGGCTGACTGATTTTTTCGACTCACAGTCAGCTCAGTTCTACAATCAGGAGTCTGCCTGATCATTGGCAAAAGGTGATTGACTGTAATGACGATTACTTCGTTGAATGAACTTTTTTGCTTTTTAAAAAAAACTCGGTTGTATGGAATGTTCTCGAAACGGCCTGAACTTTCCGATCGACCCAAAAGTATCAGATCTTCTCACCATCTTTCCACTTTTTATTTGAAAATCCATGAATATATATACATCTGATATAAATATCTAATTTGGCCAACTACTTTCTATATCTACGTTCTTTACTGATGTAACACCTGCTGTCTGGTACTGTCAATGTTTTACTTTGCGTCCAGCAGTTTATGGTATTCATGGCTTTGTAAGTCAACTGTGTTGCTGTTTACGGTCTGGCTTTTTTGGGGTGATGGGTGGTGTGTTGGCTATAGTCCCCAGCGATGGAGGAGCAGTTGCGATTAGAGTCCTCTCTCACTCTATGTTTCCAGGATTCAATAGTTTTCTGCCCTCTTCTCCTGGGCCGGACATTTCCTGCCTGTTGCCGTGGGGTGGCTTTGGCTGGGAGGAACATCGCAGTTTTCTTCTATTCAATCAATAGGCACACCTTGAATGAGTGCAGTTTCACTGCCCATTCGGGTAATTGCTAATTTGGCCAACTACTTTTTATATCTACGTTCTTTACTCATATATATAATTATTCAATATTATATTTAAAAAACTTCATTCAACTAGAGTTCAAAACTCTATGGGGCGTGTTCAAATATGTCCATTGACGTCATCGGTATCAATAGATAGATCTCATCTAGTAGCATAAATATGTTCGCGGGCTTGTCCCAATATTTACACGAGGTTAAGAGTTATGCGACAAAAAATAAATATACACTCTGACAAATTTTTCGGCATATATAGGGTGTTTGCTTTATAAGTAAACCCAAACAAATGCATATAATAGAGAAGGTACTAATCTGAGAAGCATGAAACTCGGCGGTTATGTAGTCCAGTCAATGCAAAGCCAGGACCGCTACAGATGCTAGAATTGACCACCGCCATGTTCAATACGCAAGCATGCACGACGAAGCATGTTTTCGGATACAGCCTGCAATGTTGCCGGTGGGATGTTGGAAATTATGTTGCTGATGTTGGCTCGCAAATCGTCTTGAGTATGGGGATTGTTCATGTACGCGTTGTCTTTGACGTAGTCCCACAGGAAGTAATCCAGTGAGGTCAAATCGGGTGAGCGTGAAGGCCTTAGAAATCCCTTAGAAATTGTGCGTTCGCCAAAAAGCAAGCCAAGCTTAACCCCAACTTGAACACTGCTGCTAACTGGGAAAATTTCATAATTCAAGGGCAGTACTTTGCAATGGCTAGATTAAGGGAATTTCTGAAGGATTTCATCTTTCTCGGATTAATATTTCCTCTATAATATGCATTTTTGGGGGTTTACTAATAAAACCAACACCCTGTATTTGAGGAAATATCCGTTAAATGGTCTTTGGCGCGATCCAGAAATCACAATCCCAATTTGATCCTTTTTGCTTTTCATAATTTAACTCGGACTCATACTTGAGGAGTTCAAGGTTGACTTGCTACAGCGGTGATTTTGGTGTCATCTCACTTTGGTTGTGGGAACTTCATTTGAGTATTTTCCTGGTGACTTGCCTGCTGCTAATGTATTTTTTTTACACAGTTTTTGACCTACAACTCAACCTCATTCATGGATTGGGTCGTGCTGATGAAAATTATTTTACTAGTTGAGACTTAATGTCACTCATGACGTTAGTGAACATGGTTGGACAATTTCGTCTTCTATTGTAACATTAAGTTCTGGAAAAAATGAGGAAAACAATAAGTATGAAAAAGTTTTGTCAATAAGAAGGATAAATCCTCGGATGTTAAGGAATAGATGTGCAAAATTTAACCGTTCGACATTTAGCGGCTTGTCTGCCGGAGTGCTAGCAGACACAGAAAAACGACAACGTGAAATTTTCTGGAGTAGTCAATCCATTTTCCCGTATGCACTATACAGGTATATTTAACCTTCGGAACGCTTAAGGCTTAGCTCACTCCGGTTTGAGTAAGGTTGACTTCCTAAGAAATACTCGCCAAACAAGCAGAGGCGATACGAGGGCGTGTTATTGTGGTTTCAGGTGCTCTGTTTACTGATGACCAGCGGGGAGGGAATGCAGAGGTGGCGTTCAAATACGCCATCCACACCGTGAACAAGAATATCACCCTCCTTCCCGGCACGGTGCTACTTCACGACATCCAATACGTCCATCCTCATGACTCTTTCTACGCCGAACGAATGGGTGAAATTCCTCATGCTCTTTCATTTCATGGAATTTTCTTGAATTCAGATGACCATTTCTGGTGTCTTTCAAAGAATGAACTGTCGAGTGGACATGTGCATCGAAGCCTCTGAGGAGAACTTTCATATGCTGCGAAGTGAAGTTGAGTAAAACGGGTGTACAGGGTCTTTTAGAACATATGTAAAGCATTGACTCCTACGCGAAAGATTTAACTACCGTCGTTTCTAGGTATTCCGCGCTTAGAACACGCTTTTATCTGACATTTAATATCCAGCGTAAAGGTCGGAAATAAGTACTTCCTGCTTGAGAAACTATACTAGTACATACTTTTTTCAAATACCGGTAAAATACTCTTCCGTACCAGTATGGTATTTCATATTTACACGTACTGAAAACACATATACCGTAGTCTCCACTCACAAGAGGCTGAACAGAAATGTCCCTTGTATATATTCTTGCAAGTGTAAATCTCAGAGCAAATTCAGATCTGCAAATACAATGACTCCTCGTTGTGCTGGCGGGAACGTACTTGCAGCCTGCAGACAATTGTCTGGGGGAGTGCAGGCGCTGTTCGGACCAGCAGATGCCCGGCTTGGGGCGTACGTGCAAAGCGTGTGCGATGCCCTGGACGTGCCCCACCTGGATGCTCGCCTGGACTTCAGTTCTCTCGCCCGGGAGAGGGAGTTCGCCATCAACCTCTTCCCAGGGCCTGAAATCCTCAGCCAGGCTTACCGGGAGGTCGTCCGCTACATGAACTGGACCAGTCTCTTCATAATCTACGAGGAAGACCTTGGTAACAAATATTTTATTTTTATTTTTTGGTGACTCCACGTGGGCTTTTTTAAGATTGCAAAAAAAAGAGAAATCTGTATGAGTGGTTTGGTATTGGTATCGGTATCGATTTAGTTCTAATGGTATTAAGATTCTTTTCCCAATAATTGCATGGGTGGTTGTTATGTCGTATTTACTACATCTGGTGCCATAACTTGGAGATTCTTGGTTCCTCCCATATACTTAGTACGGTATCACGATCGTTCTTTATAATCCTTAGAAAAATCGGTGTTATGTGAAGTCTGAGGTGCACGCTATCATAAGATCGGATAAATTATTTTTAAAAATTTCTCAACGCCTTTGGCTCCTGACAGTTTCATGTTCCTCAGTGGCATAAACCATCAAAGAAAAAAAAACCACTTCATTGGAGGACGGAAAAACTGCTGTCATTCCGCATGCACCGTATCGCTATGAGAATGTTCATGGTCCATTTTAAGCAGAATAGGACCCTGGAAGTCTTCATTTATGCAGGCATAAAATGAACTATTCGGAGGAGCCGACTGGATCCTTTCGTTTTATGACCCCATGCATGGAAGGAGAGAGAGGAGGAGGAGAGAGAATGGCTTTTAAGAGAAATCGATTCCCGCTGACTTACTACGGCTTCCTTGTAGGGAAGAATACGGAAGGGATTTTCTTTGCCCCGCGCTTCGCTCAGCTGGGGAAGGGTTCCTCAAATGTCTCTTCTCATAACTTCTGGTTGCATTCGTTATAGGAATTACATGGTACCAACGTTATATTCACTTCGAATATTAAAAAATAACATTTCGTATTCAGGTCTTCTCTTCCAACATCTATCCAATTACATCATGCAGAAATTTCTTTTAAAAGTCTGATATATTCCTGATACGATAAGCTCCTCTCTCCACATGAAACTCCTGGACTGAACTTAGCAGAATACTTATACCATATTAAAATGCAGTCTTATAATTGAATCCAGAAAGCAAATTTTATTTTATGACATTTCTGCTTGAAAATTTACACAAAGTTATTAAACTCGACCTATTCCCGACTTATTGTGCATCTTCAGGCTTTCAACGTGGTTAATATTTTATTATTACCTTTATTGTCGATCCAGCCAAGCGAGAACCAGTTGAATCTCTTTTAGTATCTATTGTAAGCTAGGGAAGGACCATCGACAGTTGCTTGACTTGAAAAGTTGACAGGATGCGGAGAGAGCACCGGCCCATCCCATCTCTGCTTTCCAAAGTCGTAAATATAGAGGGGAGCAACCACCTTCATCCACTTATGAATGATCCTTTGTGTATCTCACTCGTTCTCGCTCGGCTAGGTCAACTGCCTTTCCTTAATGTCCAAGAATCAACATGAAAAACAGGAAAATGTCGCGTGTGTCCAACAATCCCTTCGCAGGAAAGTGATAGATCTCGGGAAAGGCTTCGTCTTCTTTCCTCTTCCATGCATAGAGCTGCTACCTGGAAAAGTTCATTAGCTTCAAAGGATCATATCTCTGTGTATGAAATTATCGGATGGACAAAAATGGGGGCCAAAAAGTTTTTTTCAGAAAAGGTAGAATATTGTTACTATGCTTCTTGGGACAAAGGAATTTCCTTAAATATTTTAGGAAATAAAAAAAGAAGTACGCGGGTTAAATTGTTTACGATTGAAGCAAAAATAAACACTATCATTCATTAGAAAACAGCATGGCATAAAGAATGAAGAATGAAGAATATGAACAAACAGGAATCAGGAATCGGCTACTTTCAGGTTATATTTTAAATTTGACCTTCCAGTCTGCTTCTGGTGATACCTTTCATGATGATTGGAAGTATTTTTTAGTGAAACGTTCCTCATTTCATTCTGGATGTTTTCTTCATATGCTGAAGACCCCGCGGCCTCGAATTATGAACCAACTTCTTAAGATACCTCCAGAGAAGACGTATCAACACAGTGCAATCGTCATGAGACCCAAGAAAAAAAGATGACAACACATTGAAATACATTATGGAGACGGTTCGTGGTAGTTCTAGCTGTCAGTGGGAAGAGGAGAATGCTACATTTTGTTACAACCAGGTTCTTCAATTCGACTGCAATTCCTTCTCACACTACTCTGCTGGAAAAGAAAATGTCAGCAGAACGTGACCGTATGCTGCAGCAGTCACTGCGACAGCATGTCCTTACTGGGGTTCAAAAAAGTCCCCTTTTCACTCTTTCTGCTGAACTCCCTTATGATAACTCTCCCATAGAGTTTGATGGAATGGTCTTTTGAATCACCCAGTGCACAGTGGGTTAGCAGGCAATAATAGGTAAAAAAAAAAAAATCCAGTGTCTCAGATTTGTCCCAAAATCTTTTCCGCAAACATAGGAACCCAGACTCATGGAAATGTAATTATATTTTGTAGATGGGGCGAACAAAAATACCATTTTGATACTGTGAAATTGACAACATTGAAATTTTCCTCCATATTGTAAAAAAAATCTGACAGATTTTTTTTTAAATGGTGAACCATGAAAGACTGCGTTAATCTCGATTTGGCTTATACTCCTGAGTGAGATAATGTATTAGAAAAAATGATTCATCATTTGCAGCTGGTGGTCTCATCCCCTGTAAGTCACAGTGGGGTAATTCCAGGGGTGACAGAAAAATTTGCTCTTTTCTGACATTACAGGGCTGTATCTTTTTTGCATTAGACGGCACTATTCTGCTTCTTTCCAAAAGTTGGTACTTGTATTAGGAATAAAACCGAGGAGAGTTTTATTTTCAGCAAGTTGTAGCAACACGAATGACAAGAGATTTTCATGTGTTACATAAATGGCTACTTCTAACATTACGAACAAAGTAGCGTGAGAGATCTACTAGGCTGCAGGAAATCTGCAGAGTAAATCTGTGGAATTGCGAGATTGATTTTGCAAAGATTTGGGGTTCAAATAAGTGAAAAATCGTATACTTCCTTGAAAGACGCTGTGCGGAGACGGATACGTCTTGATTGAAGATTTCTTCCTGCGCTACCCTATTATTGCCTGACCACCCCGCACAGCCAGTGCACAGTCCAGTGGCATATTTTGGTGAAAGGGTCGAGGAGAGGGGGGGAGGGGGGCAGGACAGCAGAGCAGGGGCGCCAAACCCCAGCCGAGCGATATCCGGAAAGAAAAATATATCCTTCAAGGGTACGCCAAGCTCTGTCCCAGGAGCACCGGGGGGGAAGCAGCCCCGCCCCCCTCCTCCTGTAAAATGCGCCACTGGATTCACTCTATACAGTATATCTGAGATTATTTCGTCGAGGAGAAACGTCCTCCCGGTACGAAGCGCCATATTTCCTCGTGACACATTGCTCGTGCCGAAAGCCGCACAAATGTTTACCTTAGTGCGTTTTGAGTATCTAGCAAACTTCCTTTGGTCAATTTCCAAATTTCGCCTGATTCATCCCCTGGTTTCATAAGCTCCTCGAATAATCAACATTCCGGATACAGCGAAAATGCTCTGAAAGAGCTTCACGTAATCTCAATGAGCAACGCAGGGGAAATCGCATGAAGTCCATGGATGTAGCATCCAGGAAAATTAGAGGAACTTTATTGATAAATATTGTGGATTTTGCTTCCCTCTTCGATTGGCCAGAAAAGACCGCTCGCAATTCGTTTCGCCAGAGGCCTCAGTATCCAGAGGGAAAAGGGCCTGGTGGAAAGAGGTATTGGAAAGAGGCGAACGAGGGAAGCAGATATAGGCCTACAGTAGGGGATCGGTCACTCTGCCTGTCTCCACCATCCATTATTCTCCATGTCCTATCCCGTCTCGTTTCCCTGTCTCTTCGTAATCCCCCCCTCCTTCCTCCCGATTGGCTCTTATTTCTCTTCGTCCATACGTTATCTTCACATCCACCCCAGCATCATCGTTCGTCGGAGTTGCATTTTCTGTAAAAACGAATCCTATCCCGCGTTTCTCCCAAGGGTTGGTGAAGCTGCGTGACTTCATCCTCACGCCTCCGTTCCATGGAATGGACATCCTAGTCCAAAAGGGGAACTCGGATACGTTCATCCAAGTCCTAAACGAGACCAAGAAGAAGGACGTTTACAACATGATGATCGACATTCGTCCTCAGTCTACGGCCGCATTCCTCAAGGCTGTGGGTGTCATTGCCACTCATCATGCATCACTATCTGGACATGCTCGCGTTTCTACATGTTTTGTCTCTTTTGCTGTTTTTCAGATCCTGGACTTGGATATGAACGACTACAAGTACCACTACCTCTTCACTTCTTTCGTAAGTTCCCTTTTTTGTTTATCAATATCTGGGAAGAATGGGATACGTGAATTCTCTCAATAAATACGAAATATACAATTAAAGATGAAAATACGGAAAGAAACTGAAGTTATTTGGAATGCAATGAAAGGAAATGGATGAAGAACACAAGTGAAGATAAAGGCGAATGACTCTTCGTACAAAAGAGGGCCCCCTGAATGAGCACCCGATTAAGGAAATTTGGGGAAATCCAGTCCCCAAAAATCCACTATGTGATAGGTGAAACATGGCGAAGGTAGTTCGTGCGATCACCGGTTTATATCCCTCTTTCTTAAACGTATCCGATTCTTGAGAACCCACTGGACTCTTGCTGCTGAAGGTGTAGGCGGAGCTTGAGAATTTAATTTGGGGGACCTAGCAAAGGAGACCATACTCCCCCCCCCCCCCACATAAAAATTAAGGGTTTACTCACTCCCCCCTTTTTTAATATACTGACTGGTTGTGAGTGTCCTTGTGCTTCCGTTTCTCATTCATTCATTCATTCATTCATTCATTCACCGTATCCATGTGGATCCCGGTCGTAAGGAGGAAAACAGTTTTATGGGTTTTTTCCGGCTATAAGGGTTTAGCATTCGAAAATTCCGTCCATACCTTTCTTAACCTGTTGGGGAGTGAGCTTTTTATTGACAAAAAATTATTTTTAAGATAAACATTTGTTTTAGTGTCAATACAATAAACAATCGTTATTTATTTTAGTCTAACTTTCTTTCCGTATTGTTTGAAGGCCTGAAACTCCTCAAAACAGGGGTGGACACGGAAGGCCGTATCACATACGCTACACATAAACTTGGTTTCTTTGCTTCCCTGCTGCCGCCCTTTTGGGTGTCTACCGTATGGTATTGTAAGTTTTCAATAAGAAAGGTTTACACTTGTGGGATGCCTCCGAAAATCAATGTTTGTTGGGAGGGATACATAACTGCCCTTTCCAAGGAAGGCTGCTTCTGTTCTGTGATCATAGACATGTGCAAGGACTATGGTAATGTGGTCAAGTGCAAACAGCCTTCCATATACGACAAGCCACATATCAATCCTAAAATATGCAGAGAAATTAACGCACGAATGTTGAAATCGTACATGTTTGGTGGTACTCCTTAACATGCTAAAGCCACAACCCCATTCCCTCCAGCTCCAAGACACTCCCAAACTCAGCCTATGCCTGCAGAGTTATGAAACTAACGGCTTGCCGTCACCTTATCTTTGAATTCTGTCATCAGATGTGAAGGTAACGTGACATTTTAAGACAATGATTGTGATGGTACCAAACGTAACTTTAGGCACTGTGAAGTACTGTCGCAACAGTAGATCACATATCGTCACCCGGTTGCATCCTTATAAGATATGTACTCAAAAATAGCAATGGAATTGAAGGAATATCGTCCACGTTTGTCCCCAGGACATGGAGACGTTCGACTTGAAGGCGTTTGAAGACAACTTCGTGAACATGACTGCCTTTCGCCTGGTGGAAACCGGTCGTCCGGAAGTCCGAGCTATTCTTCGGGAACTTCAAAACTTTCAAGCTGGAGCCAGATCCTCTGGCTTCGTCATCGAAGTCAGTTTCCGTCCTATAGACGTATAACGCTCTGATAATTCCCACTGTATCTGCCTTTCACAGTTTATCGGAGAGTGGTCTAGGTTCCTGATCTATACTGAACTTGCCCGTAAGCAGTCAACCTCAGGGGTTGTTCAGTCAATATGCTGTCATAGGTCTTTCTTTACATTTGCATCCCAGCTGTAGATTCTTTGCAGCAAGTCACAACTCGTGGCGAGCGACTGCCATCATGCAGTTCAGCATGTCAGTAACTGCCAACGCTTGGGCATGGCCCAACACCAATATTTCTTGGGCACAGGAGATACTCGTTTGGTTGATTCCCTCAATATGCTCCAGGCTGATGCCGGTAATCGAAGTAGCCACATTTTTCAGTAGCAGATGACAGCTTCCGCAGCAGACCTTATATTCTTAAGAGTGCTTTTTCCAAACACGGGAAGAGAGAGCATCGGTGAGAGTTTGAAAGTACCCGTACATCGCTCCGCACATGGGAGGCAAGACGATGGGTGACATGCACCAACTGAGGCATCGGATTAGTTTAAAGACGAGATAAACATGTTTAAGAATGCGTTCATCTTTGACATGCATCACGGAAAATCAGATTAGTTCCCATGAACACATTCATCCACGATTTAAGCACGTTTAAAGGCGGTATGGGTGCGCTTGAAAAGAGAATTATTAGTATTTTATGCCAACTGCTGTTCCATTGTCCGCACCAAGTCAATGACGAAAGACGAAAGAAGAAAGAAAGAAGAAGAAAGAAGAAGAAAGAAGAAAGTCTTTCCTTGGAAAGACGAAACCTTGTCCGAATTTGTCTCCATTGAAGCATCCGAGAAGATTGAGCCATCTCTGATAGTCCTCCTGACAGGTTGGTTCAGGACAATGTCAAAAATTTCTATCTCTTCATTAGTTTCCATATCCACCGTCGTTAGATGATGAGAGGCAAGAAAACTGAGGCCCACTACGGCAAAACAGCTTGTTAAACTACCTCTGAGAATCTGTTTAGGGAGATGAATCAACTATGGGACAAGTTTATCTTTCAAGATTAGTTTAAGAGAGAAATTGAACTGATTGCATTTGGCGCATGTCGCAAATCAGTTTAACGATGAGTTCAACTCATTCTTCAACATATTTACCTGGAATCACATCAGTTTAGCTCCTATTCTGATGTGGTGCATGTCACCCGATAGGTGGAGATGTGGGCGTCTTCCACCGATCGCGACTTTCAAGGTCGAGGGGTCAATTCCTTGGGGTCGCGGTCACAGGTTCTGCCAATCACAGGCCATACATTCGGGGTCTCTTCAAATAGTATTTCCTGTAAATCTTTGTTCTCTAAGATCGTTTTCCCGTGCGTCTTTGCAGTCGGAGTCTGCCCTGATGTACGACTCGGTCCACGTGTTCGCCCAGGGACTCCAAGCTCTGGACAGAAGCACGACTCTTCGGCCTGCAAACTTATCGTGCGACGATGTTATACCTTGGAGCGACGGGTCTTCCCTCTTCAACTACATCAATCTAGTACGTCATCTACGAAGTACCGATCGGTAACTTCCACTTTTCGTCCCCTGACACGGTTGCCTGACTCGAATCAGGTGGAATGGAGAGGTCTCACGGGACCGATTCAGTTCAAAGAAGGTCGAAGGACGAACGTGAAGTTGGACCTGTTGAAGCTGAAGCGACAGAGGTTCGTGAAAGTCGGTGAATGGTCCGAGTCCAGAGGAGTAAACATCACCAATCATTCCGACTTCTACGATATTGGGCCTCTCAATGTTACGTTGAAAGTCATCACGATTGTTGTGAGTTTCAGCACATGAAATTCTTTCATCTTTTCGATTTATCGATTCGCTAAGTTTTTCATACATTTTTACGCAAAAAAAATATTTCCATGGATAGAAACTCGAGTAAATTTATTGTTTAATGAGCTTTTTTTTTTTAGCTGAGAAGAGACTTAATATTTTTTTAATCCACACGTGATGCTCTCAGTTTTTATTTTCTCAAGTCCGGACTGATTTCATGCACAAAAGGAACGGCCATTCGTGATGATGCGACCCGAGAAGAGTTACGCGGGGAATGCCCGTTTCTACGGGTTTTGCGTGGATCTCTTGGGAGAGGTTGCAAAAATGGTTGGCTTCCGCTTTCGTCTGGAACTCGTTCCGGATGGCGTTTACGGAGTCAAGAATCCCTTCACGGGAGAATGGAACGGAATAGTCCGACAGCTCATGACGCGCGTACGTGAGGTGACTCCCTCTTGGGGATAGTTTCGATGGTATTTCGGCACTGCACTGAGAGTAGACACCAGGAGGCTGTGACACTGAACTCGGTGCACCAAAAGATTCAAACATATACGAAGAAGAGCACGAATCAACATAAAGACTGCAGGTAGCTCACTTGCGTGTCGCTCGAAAAACACTTCCAGTGGATCCCAAAGCTGAGCGGTTTCCACATTCTTATATTTTGTGGCGTATCCCTTATCCCTGAGGTTGGTATCTTTATTCCTACAGGAAATTCCGCCAATATTCTGTATTAGGCAATGTAGGGAAGCACAAGCCGACTCAATGTGACTATAACCTACTTCAAAAGTTTCAGTACGGTTTTGTTGGTTCTTGTAGGGCCCTGTCCTTAGCCCTTTATCCCTTAACCTTAGCTGCCATTTATCCCAAAAATACTTTAGATCTACACGTTTTTGTCATCACCTGGTTGTTGTTGGTAGATCATAAACTGTCAGTAGAGTTGAAGGGCACCGTACACTCCTGTAGGAGATCCCATACGTGATGATATCGAGGGACAATGCGACGGGAAACTACACGTTCACCGGTTTCTGCATCGACATGCTGAAAGCCATTTCCAACTTGGTTGGCTTTCAGTACGAGATCAAGCTGGTCGACGACGGTGTCTACGGCATTTTTAATCCAGAAACTGGGAAATGGAACGGGATGGTGGGATCCCTCATTGACAAGGTAAGTCACCACCTCACGCATCATTCAGGTGGTGGTAAGTCATGGGTTTCTGATAAACGCATGAGGGCCGTGGTTTTTTTCAATCATTTTACTCTACGATAAAGAAGCTCGACAATTTAAAACATTCGCTTGGGGGTAGTAATAATAAAATTCAAGTTTTTGGAAATGGAAGATTGATTCTCATTTTCAGTGCACACGGCAAATTCGTCTGACACAAATACTTCTCCATCTTTCTTCGTACAATATGGGCATCGTGTCCGATTTCGAGCGACTTTTGCAATTTCACCCATGATTCTTTTTGCAGAAAGCAGATTTAGCGGTGGGATCCATGACCATCAACTACGCCAGAGAGAGTGTGATAGACTTCACGAAACCGTTTATGAATCTCGGCATCTCCATACTCTTCAAGGTTTCAGTCTCGCATCTCATCGAGAATTTCAATGGATAATCATCTGCTCCTGCAATTTACGGTAACCTCGGTAACTTATTTTTTTCGCACCCATGATCCGCAGGTTCCGACGAGTCCACCGACCCGGCTGTTTTCCTTCATGAACCCATTGGCCATCGAGATCTGGCTTTACGTGCTTGCAGCATATGTACTCGTTTCGATCACATTGTTCATCGTGGCCCGATTCTCGCCTTACGAATGGTACAACCCTCATCCCTGTGTCGTGGAGTCTAACGTGGTCGAGAATCAGTTCAGCCTGGCCAACTGCTTCTGGTATGCCATCGGGACCCTCATGCAGCAGTCGGACTTAAACCCAAAGGTAGCTAACATCTCTCGAGCAGCCTTTTTTGTAAAGGATTCGTGCTGCTGTGCAAGATCAAGACCCAATTCCAGATCTCTAGAGGTTTCAGGCGGCACTTAAACATTCCTACGCTTCTGAATTTTGTCCCTAAAGTCAAGTTATAAATCCACTGTTCCTATTATAAAGGTTAAGGTACCATATTTTTTCTGTAAAACATAAATATGAATAATAAAATTTCACTCAGATATTCTATGATAAAATGGATGAAATTCTTGAATATGGATAAAGACTGTCAACAGCACGATTGTTGAATCCTGTGTGAAAGGCGGCCTCGACCCGTATCGTGGGAGCCATCTGGTGGTTTTTCACGCTGATCATCATCTCGTCGTACACCGCGAACCTGGCAGCCTTCTTGACGGTGGAACGCATGATCACCCCCATCGAGAGTTCCGAGGACTTGGCCGATCAGAGCACCATCGAATACGGGACACTCAAGTCCGGCTCCACTATGACTTTCTTTCGAGTCAGTTCCTCACACTGGTCGACTTTCTAGTTTAAAAAATTACGTAATGATGCAATCCTGCTAGTAGAATTTCTAGCATCTTGCCGTGATTTTTTCTCCATATGGGTACAAAGGACAGACGGGATGATGACCACAAGTTTTCAAATGAATTTTTTGACAATGCAACTTTATTTGACAGGCTCTCAGTGCCCATGTGTCTCGTATAGGATTCCAAGATCGAGACGTACCAGAAGATGTGGCGTTTCATGGAGAACCGGAAGCCGTCGGTGTTCGTCGACACCTACGAAGAAGGCATCCGGAAGGTTCTGGAAGGAAATTATGCTTTTCTCATGGAGTCGACCATGCTGGACTACAGCATCCAGCGAAACTGCAATCTCACACAGATCGGAGGCTTACTCGACTCCAAGGGATATGGAATTGCCACACCCATGGGTGATTATTAAGTTAGCCTCGGGTAGAATTTTGACTCCTCCTCCCTTTCATGGACAGTATTTCATTTCTTGGTTTCCTTCGGCGTTGAACTTGAGTGTAACCTTCGAACGAAATTGTTGTTATTATAAATGACATTATTTCTGCTGATATCAATACTGATATGATATGAATATATTCAGCAATTTCCGGAATTTTAAGACATTATTTAAATGCTCATGACAGGAGTTTGATCTGCAGGCTCACCCTGGAGAGACAAGATATCCCTGGCCATTCTGGAGCTTCAGGAAAAGGGGACGATTGCTATGATGTACAATAAATGGTGGAAGAACGCCGGCGACACATGCAAGCGCCAAGATCGGTCCAAGGAGTCCAAGGCGTCCGCCTTAGGCGTCGATAATATCGGTCAGTCCATAACGTATTTCTTCGTGCATTTTAGGACGATCGGGTTCAAGTGTAACCGAACGAATCCAATCGATAGGTGGAGTGTTCGTGGTTCTTCTGTGCGGTCTGGCATTCGCCGTCATCATTGCCATACTGGAGTTCTGTCGGAACTCGAAGAAGAATGCCCAAACCGATCGGGTACGGAGTCTCCACCTTCACTCTGATGTAATATTTTCATCTGAACTCATCCCCTCGGTTATTTAGCACTACTAGGTCCAGTTACTTTGAAGTACTACTAAGACAATAACCAAAAGTGAAAAAATATATATTTCACAAGTCTTCGGTTCAAAGTTACTCACCCTGCAGGGTACAAAAATGTTTGGAAATTAAAAACTGAAACTGTATTGCCTACTGAAAACCACTTGCTGGAACCTTCCTATAGCAGTCTATGTGTTCGGAGCTGGCAGAAGAACTCTGCTTCGCAGTGCGATGCTGCGGTTCGCGCCAGCGACCCGCGCTGAAGCGTCAGTGTTCACGATGCATGCTCGGCACCACTTACGTCTCAGCGGCTGGCCTGGACCTCACCATGGGACAGGTATCAAGCACGTCTTCATACTATATCTCAGCACGATCGAGAGACGAGACGAGGAACAGCTCGATGAATGCAGATATTTTTTTACGCCTATAAATTCTTCAGACTACTAGATTTGTTTTTCTTCAGGAAAACGGTGTCCGGCATCGAACAGCAGATGTGAGGAAGAATTCATACCACTGCGACTGTGAGAGATGAAGATCATCTTTGCAACATTCACGGCGACATTCTCAAAAATGTGGATTTTATACAGGTTTTACGCAATCATGAATAAAGAACGTTGAATTCTTTTTATTTAAGTTCCAGTTGTTGAAGCTGCCCTACCTCCAGTTTCCTGCAGGGATTCAATCCCCCCCACTGCTCGTGTCTAAGCTCCTCCCAGAACGAGAACGTTGAACGAGAACATGAAATACGTGCGTCCTACGAGCTTAGGGGAACAAAACGTTTCTCGAAGTTATTTCTCGAAACTTGCACTATGCACAGGTTAATAGGGGCGCAATCAAACTTCACAAGCCTTTCGAGCCTGCCCAAGATGCCTGTGAAGTTTCATCGCATCAAGGTCAAGTTGTGAGCAATTAGTATTTTTTTCAATGCAGTCAGATAGAAACAATGGATAGGAGCCCATGCTGGTAGCTGAGTGGCAAAACACCTTTTTGCTGTGGTTGCGGATCATCCACGCCATAGCGAATGTCTTTTTCAGTAAAATTCTCTCGGCTGGCTTTGTGTTATACGAGGTTTTATATAACTCTTTTTTTTTTTAAATAAGACGTCGAGGGAAGGAATAACTAAAGCGTATAATTGAAAGGCACGATAGTGTGATGAAGGCAGTGTTGAGAAGCACTGAATGTCCTAGGTTTGGTGGTGTAAAGGCCGAATTAGGAGGCCCGGGTTCAATTCCCGGACGTCCCCTGGCTTTCTTTCGTCCTCTCTCGTCCATCCAAGCGCCCTTCTTTCAGTTCTCGTCACAACTTTGTGGCAGTAGCGGAGCGAACCCACGCTTCGGAGACTGGTGAGTTTGTCTGGCAGCAAGCGGGGCTTAGTGCCCACGCCCACCGACAGGTGAAGTTGGATGCTGCATAGCCGTGGCACGAGTAGTGAGGGTGGAGTTGTGTAAGAGGCATGGTGGAGTTGAGGGGGCGCCCCCATTGGTATTGTGTATAGTCCCGTAGTGGACACTAGTCCCATAGAGGACATTGTATACTCCCATGCACTCCCACCCAAGCATCCAAAAGGCCCGGCATTGTGTGTATAAGTCTCGAGGACCAGACTTCATTGGGAGGGAGGTAATGTGATGAAGGCAGTGTTGAGAGGCACGACTGAATGTCCCAGGTTCGGTGGTGTAAAGGTAGCACACCTGACCGGCAATCAGAAGGTCCAGGTTCAATTCCCAGCCGGCCCCTGGCTTTCTTTCGTCCTCTCTCGTCCATCCAACTTCCCTTCCTTCAGTTCTTCTCGTCACAATAGCACCTGCTAAGCCAGGGTTGTGCAACCTTTATCGGCAAAGGGCCGCATGGAAATATCTGACTCTTCACGCGGGCCATAGAATGCAAAAGAAAAGGCTCCCCTCTTTTGCCCCCAGGGCATATAAGGGCATAGGGTTGCTCTGATTGGCTGGTGATTCTTACCCCCGCCCCACCCCTAAGAAATTCCACCGCCAAAAATTAGCCTTTGGCATCGAGAACCTTCATCCTCGAGACATACGTAGCGCCCCGGCGTGAGGAATAATTAGGGCAAGGAAGTGAAAGGACTCAGTCTATTTCTAGTTTAGTTACTAAGCAATGACCAAAGTTGTGATGGGCCTTCGGCCGCAAAGGAGCTTATTTTATCTGTTACCCCATTATGCATTACTGGGCCGCAAGAAGCAGGTCCACGGGCCACATGCGGCCCGCGGGCTGCACATCCCTGTGCTAAGCCATGCATCGCTGAGTAATACGGTCTTTCCCAATACAACTTCTGACTCCCCTTTCTCTATGTTCACGTTTAACGTAAGCGAGCAGTATATTTTGGAGATGTTCGGCGGGACTATCGATGAGGATAAACGCCTTCATTTTGTCTGACCATCTCAACCCTAAGAAAACAATTTTAAAATAGCTATATTCACCGAGTGAAACCTGACCCCAGGAGCAGCTGGGGAATCCGGATATCACCTTGGAAAGCATATTTCACGAAGATTCTGCTCGTTATCCCTCCCTTAGCTACGTTCCAGTTCGTGTCAACGTTACCGGCCGATGCCCACGCATGAAAAGCTTTCGAGCTGGAAAGGGGTTACCCTACTGTAATTGGTTCTTCAGGTGCAGTGTCCAAGGGCGTGAAGGAAACTTTGGCCGATGAGGTTTCATAGAGATCGAGGGGAAGCCTCATGTTTCTTTCATTCTTGCCGGTTAAGAGAGTTTATCGCAGGAGCAGGACAGGAATGACGGACTCCCCATTTACTCGTAGTCCACATGGAAATCAAGCGGTGAGTCTGTCTCCGTTTCCTTTCACTTTCATTTTTATTCAGGCCGAATGAGAGGAGCCTATTCCCCATGCTTTCAGCTTCAATTGGACGCCAAGGAAACGAATTTTGGATGAAACATGCAGTGCCTTGCCGATAACGTTTGATATAAATGTGATAAGATATATGGGATGAAAACCATGAGACAATCTCAAAATGTTCTATTCTGTTGCAGACAATTAACGACACAACTGACCAAGAAGCAAAGGACATTCATTAGCATCAGCATCAAAGTCGTTACTGCTATGTCTCAGTATAGCAGTAACCTTACTGCTATATTGAGAAATTGATGTCTAATAAGTCACTAAGATGAGCCAATGATAATACGTACAAAAGCTTCTAGATATTTACTCAAATCTGAAATAACTCAAAACAAATTTAAGCCAGTAAGTTACATTTCAAGCAAGTCTCATAGTCAAGAAGAAACAACGGAAAAATCTGTAGGTCAGCGGTTTATTCTGGTACCAAACAAGCAACAAGGGATTTCATTCCAGCGACCTATAGCACAAGACCCTGTTCAGTTCATTTTTAGGACTGAGAGAATCCGTCATGCTCTGTTCCTGAGCATTGAGTTTGGGAACAGCTCCTGCTGCCAATAACAACAGTAAAAAAATAAACAATCACCTGTACCTTCCATACATCACAGACCTCATGACTACAAAGGAGAAAAATGCTTTCAAAGGAACGTTCTACTATTCACAATGATCACCCACCGTTGCAGCAATCACAGTTCTCTTGACTAATGCAAAGGCATTATTTACATGACACAAAAGTTGACACAGTGCCGATAACACTACTATACACATAGTAATTCTATTCCTAAGGCAACAAAAGAATAAACATGAGACCATGCGATGATAAACTAGGACTTCCAGAATTTTTGTGCTTGACCATAACTTGGGTGGGCATAGTTGAGGACAACACTGCTACAATGTGGCAAGAAATCTCAGTGCAGAGCAAACTTCACCCAAGGCACCACTATTTACGATGGTACTAGTGATGCTACCTTTTATACTTGCTTCGGCGATTAAAAAAAAGTGCAACAATTCACTTACATTTTCTAAATCCATTGCAAAGACAGACATCGGCAACTGTGAAGTAATATCCTTTCTTACAGGACTGCATTAACTGATGAGATGAAGCATCTGAAAAATGATCCAAAGCAGTTCCTATCATGTTTCTGAGTGATCCATACAAATATATAAATGCCATAGAATTATGAACTTGTTTTACAAAAGCTGAGAAGTGGGAAATTGATTGCAAGAAGAAAATAGGCACTGAGGATCTTTTTTTCTGTTGGGCAGAGCTAGCTTGGATAATAATGCCTATCATGTTGGTGGCTAATTTCTACTCCTCTCCCCTCTGGCAAAGTTGAGATCAAATTGAGGATAGGAAAAAGATTGACAGCAACATTGCAGTAACACTGAAAACTTACTCTACTCACATCCAATCTTAGATCCATCCTACTCAAGTCTAATGCACCTTTTAATGTTTAAAGGCAATGCTGGATCCACTTTACAATCATTTACAAATATATACAACTGATCTCAAAGCCTTTTGTAACAAGATATTTTCACATTACACAAAGACTTCCCAAAATGTTAGTCTGCCTCAGTCATATAACATAGTAGGGCACAGATGAGGCATAGCAGTAGAGACAAAGATGACTAACAGTATTTTTAAGTGAGAAGAATTCAGATAACCCAATTGCAAAATACTGAAGGAATGATGTCTTGTACTAGATGATCCACTTTTGGGGAGAATCTTCCCAAAGAGAAACCAATATTGAATAAAAGTTGTCATGTTCCTTCAGTGTTTACAAGGAACAAGGTTAACCAATAACAAGGAGTAATCAGAAAGTGAAGTGAAGAAGGAGTGACCATGACAATCCTGGCACTTGATGGAAGCATGACCTTTCAAAGAAAAAAAACCAAAAACATTGTGTCTATTAGGTGTACAGATGCTTTATGGAACCTGAGAACTGCCCATGAAACAAGCCCATTTAAAATCCATTGCATTAGAATGGGATGGAGCTTACTTGAGTTTCACTGCTCTGAAGAAGGATGCAACAAATCATGTATCCTGCTTTGTGACATGTGGTAAAAAAAAAAAAACTCTAAAAAAGATATAAATAAAGAATTGACTTTATGAGATTTTTCCTGCCTTGGCTCCTATCCAATCTCACTGGGGCATGTTAACCTATCCTCACTTCACATCTTATGTACATTTGCAGCAAGAAAGTCAAGAGTTAAGAATGAGGGGACAGAGACCATGAGGATGTAAGAAAAATCAGTTCTGTTGTTATTAAACTCAAAAAAAAAAAACTAGTTTCCGTAAATATTTGAATGCAATTTATCCAACTTCATAGTCCTTGCCTCAATAGTCTCCAACTCTTTCAGATTAAACTTGGACATGAGGATTTCCAAAAAAGGATTAACATGGAATTAAACAAATTGGAGATACTGAAACAAATCAAGATCATTGAAAAGCCATCAGGTTCAGATCCATCAGAAAAATGCCATATGCTGAATACAAATTAGTCTGAGATTTTGGCATATGAGATCACAAATCAAAATTTTAGTATGGGGATAGCTGAATGTGAGAAGCAGGCAACATGGGATGAGTTCACAGGTGATTGGGCTCACTCGTTTTCCTTCAGATATGTGCTGGCAACCCTGAAATCCAAAGTAATCATAACTGAAGGTCAACACAGATACTCCAAGTGCAAGCATGGTGGAGACAGACAATAGAGCCTCTCACTATTTCATTCGATAGGTACAGAGAGTCATCATCACTGTGGAAAGAAACTGGTCCTATGTGCAATCTCTGTCTGACACTGTCACCTTGGCCTATAGCCAACTCCACCATCATTTTAGGAAGGTAACAAAAAAGATTGCATCTCCACACTAGGAACTAGGGCTGTACTGATGTGAAAATTTAACCAATATGCAAATTTCCAATGTTCTTGAAAGATGTCGATACTGATACCAGTTCTTGTGATTGTGCATAGGATAGGTCCTTTTCTCAGTACAATAGTGTCATACAGATGACATTGACTTGATTGGGTCCATGAGTTCTACATTGACTATGAAGAGTAAGACCATTACTATGATTTATAAACTGAAATCAAGAGAGATTTTCCAAAATAGAAGACTACAAATGCAGTTCCAAAAAACTAAAAACTAAATGCAAATAACAGATTCTGCTTTCAGAAAGGAGTTCTCCTATTGAGCCAGATCTGACTTTACCTCAATTTAATACGAGGTAATAAAAACTCAACCCATCAAACATCCATGGGTTATTAACCATCAGCAATGAATGCTGTTTCTCTCTGTCTGGCCCTGTGGCAGTCACTTTTCAATCTGTGCCAGATCTTTGATTTATCACCTCCCAGTTTTCAACAAAAGTGGTGAGTCTTGATGGCATTCAGTCCTGTATGCCCCGCAAAACTTGTTTTGACAGGAAATGAAGAAAAGGATGTCAACAAATAGCATACAAGGACCAGGAAACTCCAAAGTGGGTGTCACTGGCATGGGTGGCATTGAAAGATTAGCCATGGTAGAAATATTTAGACCTTTATTAAGCCTACACCCATGTAAATAATGTTGGACAGAGGTTTTCCCATTAAAAAACAAGACTTGGGTCTTGTTTCTCTCATGATGGGATGACTGCTCAGACATCATGAAAGACAGGAAAGTCAATCAGACCAGTTCATCAATACTTCGCTTTCATGATGGCTGTGCAAGTCTTGCAATAGAGGGAAACAAATCTCTTGGACATATTCTAGTGACATGTTGGATAAATTTCAAAAACTAGGGTGAATTTGTAGACCAGTTACAAGCTGAACATGCTAAGCTCACTTTATGATTTTGAACCATTTGCCTCTGAAAAGCTACATCAGAGACCCTGAAAGGCAATAATCATCATGTGTACAGCTATGTGTCAGCATTTCTGCCATTTTTACCACCCAGCAATAAAGCATGTTTGTTTTACTTTTGATTTGTGACAGGAGAAAAGGGAGATCAGGATCTTGCCGTTCAGGGGTGACATCACAGCAATAATCTCATCCTGCTTAGACAAGCATCTCTCAACCAATAAATTGCACCAATGAGGCACAAAGATTCAGGCACAGAGAATGCATGTAAGGAACTAACTTGCACTTTGGACATGCAGTGAGATCCATGAGATGAAGGGTAGTGGGGTGCCAATCACATTTTCTCTGTACCCTCCCACGGGTGAGAAACCCACAGCATTGGCACAGGACTTCTGCTTCAGTTCTGTTGCAGATGCAGGATCCCAACCCACTCCCACATGATCCCATTGACATCCGTGTTGGTGGACGTCCATCCAGACTTCCTGTTGATGTTCGTGAGGATGGACGCCATTCTCCATCCAAACTCCAAATTTCTGCACCTGAATCCACCCCAGAGTCAGTGTTCCCACTCAACCGGGCACTTCTCTTTCCCAAATCAGCCTGTACCTCATCCCATGGTTCTTTAAAACCCTAATTATGAGAAAATGGTAAAGATTAGTTCATATCATTATTGGAACTACAGCATCTCACTAATATGTTGCTACTTTTAGAAACTGCTCAGAAATTCAGTTAGTATAATGTTCACTTGTACCACATTAAAATTGTGTATGAGGGTGAGAAAGAAAATCCAAACCAAGTAAAAATTGGCAGTGCAGACAAACCATTTGAAACCAATTGATGCAATGTAATAATGATTGAAAATTGGATGTATTTTGCCCCATGAATTTTCATTAATAAGGGCCAAATAACAAGTAAAAAGATGTCATAATAAAGAAAGTGCAAAAATTAGCATTTGATTATTCCTCTAGCCCTGGCTCTCTTACAGTCAAGATGGGAGAAGACGATGAGGTAATATAAATGTATTGTAGAAAGTGAATGATAGGCTGCAGCCAGCTCCAAAAGACAACTTTGGCTTCCATTATTTCCATGAAAAATTAAAAAAATTACAATTCAGCATCTCTTCAACATTTTTATAAATGACCCCATGCAAGAGATTTGGAACAGTGCATGGCTCTATTTTGGAGAGCAAATCTCAGACAGGCATTCAACACACAGCTGAAACTCAGATGTCCCATGAAAGAGATTTCCACCATTATGTCATCTGACATTTGTGTCAGATTTTACTGAGGCAAATCACATAGGGGTTACCGTCAATCCTATTACCGTCCTCGAACGAAACAGTTTTCAAAAAAAATTGGGAAAGTCTAGACTTAATTCCGACGATAACCTTATTATAGGAAAAAACGTAAAAACTCGAGAAAACACTAACGTTAAAAAATTTTCATGTTTTATATGTAGTTTTCATATTTTGTATAAATTTACTATATCATACCATATATGATATATTATACATTTAATACATAATTGAAGATTACAAAACTAATGGGTGGAGGAAGGCCTCTGATGGAACTGAGCCATGCATAAATGCGCCCATTGTAGCGTAAAATGGAGTGCAAAGTCACAAGAATCCTGAGAAATTGCCATAGACACAATGTAAATGCAATGTCCATCGGAATGGACGCCAGGTCTGAAAGTGTTAAGCTACTCCATCAACATGGAAGTGACGTTCCCACCCACTAGTTACATCTAGTCTTTTTTATATTTAAGCATTTTGTCATAAAGAACTACATCAGCAGTTTCCTAAAAGCTCATGCACTGTTTCCGGATTGAATTCATACCCCCAATAGGAGCACTTCCATTGACTGCAGGTAGTGACATCTTTCACATGGGTGGTTTTATCTATCACCTGCTGAGTCAGAACCCCTGGAAATGTGTGTTTCCTCCATTCTCCACTATGAATTCATACCCCCAATAGGAGCACTTCCATTGGCTGCAGGTAGTGACATCTTTCACATGGGTGGTTTTATCTATCACCTGCTGAGTCAGAACCCCTGGAAATGTGTGTTTCCTCCATTCTCCACTATAGGGGGGTGGTAGGAATTCAATCCGGAAACAGTGTATGCAGGTAAGAAAGCACATTCATGATCCACCTGATCTCTATCTTTGCTTGTGTACAACTTACGATCACGGACTATCGTGTTCCATGTCATATTATGTCACGTTATCAATGGTACGTGTTTCAGGTACTTATACGGAAGTGAGACCTTAAGGTCGATTGGGAGAGAGAGTAGATTCGAGTTGGGATGCCTATTGTAATTTAATCTATGACTCAAGCATCCTTGAACTTTTGGAGACCCAATTTGATGCTCATGGTTCATCTAAAGATGGGCTACCTGGGTTCAGTCATCATTGGGGTACTTAAATGTTCCAGACTTCAAGATTGTAGTCCCCTTAGTTTTATTTGCAATGCAACAAAACTGAGATGTAGAGCTTCCTGAGGTTGCAAGCTTTCCATCAAGTCATGTTTATGCATGGTCCCAATCAGCAGGAGGAGTTTCCAGAGAAACACATAGACAGACAGCAGTATCATATAGATTTTAATGTCTCATTATCCTTCATTCTGAGGAGCAGATTATGAATGTCTGCTTCAGACAGTATATGCTAACCAAGGCATGCAGGCACAACAAAACCAGCCAATAACACAAAAAGTTCTTACATTTCGTGCAAATCCAAGGCTTCGACTGATCATTTCAGAAGCACTATTTAAATCAAGTCTTGGTTGGGGTCGACCAGCACGGTCCTCTCTTGCAGCCATTATCATGGATTGATGATCTAAAGAATATGTTCTACAACTTCAGAACAAGAGTCAAGGACATGAATAGGACATTGGGCAAACAGACCTAACTTATGACTTGTCACAGCTTATGCTAAACTATGCTACATAAGATGTCAAGACCAATGACTATGACCAGTAAGCTGCTGTTTCTTTGGCATATAAATATAGTTGTGTATGTAGCACTGTATGTAGCAATATCTACCAATATCTTAAATTTTTTTTGTTAGTTGTAGGATAAGGAGTGGTCCTTTACATTTTCAAGAGCCAATAGTTTATTTATATAATTTTTGGCACCTGCAAAATGCAGGGAATTCAAAATACCGATGATTTAGGATGAACAAGCATGGATAAACTGTCAAAGTCTATAATAGACTTGCTTTGAATAAGGAATCAACAAGATTTAGGGAATCCTCCCATCCCATTTGGTTTAGAAAATCCTGAAAACAGTAATAGTGTCCTAACCAAGAGTGATAAAATGTTGCCCTGAATCAGTGCTATGTGGAGCACAGGCATCAAGTTCCAAACACATTGATGTTGCATATAGGTTCAATGTGAAAAGCAAGTAATCAATATCATGTGACTGAAATCTCCATAATTATCACATATGAGACTGTTGAGAAAATTATGAAGAAAAAAAAACTGGGCTCACCTTACTATGAGTTCCACTAAGGCTGAGCCATTTGTAAGAAATGCTAAGGGCCTATTGCATCCTTCCTTCCATCATTTATTCTTTCTCATAAAATATACTTGAAGGAAAGTGATAGAAGAAAAGTGAAGAAGTAGTTTTTGTAGATTTTTCATGGTTCTATAGAGAAAATTTTTAGCAGATAATTCATTGCACAGTTGCAGAGCAGCAGGAGGTAGCAGGGAAGGGGGAGCAAAACAGAGCTGAGAAACAATGAGAAACTCATATACCAAAGGGTGATTGATAGGAAGAAAGGAAACAGGAAAGTGATGAGTGTTGACCTCACAAGCAGGGCAATAATGCCAATATTTTTTCAAGGGACTTTCTCTGCACCCTAACACATAAGGGAATCATAATTTTCTGTGTTCACTACCTTCAAAGGGATGAAGTTGACTCAAGATAGATGTGGCTCCAAGCAATAAGTCCCAGATATGAAATTTACAATTGTAATTCAGGCATAGGCATGGGTTCTAAAAACAGCAGTTCTAAACTTTTAGGAAGTGATGTCATTTGACTGCTCCTTCTACAAACACAAGTAATTTCCATTGTGGAAGTCTCATAGTGTTTTTCACTTGAGTTATACACTTCTTCACTTGACTTCAACACCCATGCATGAGGAACATCCTATGCATGTGTGTCTAACTCAAGTGAAAAACACTGTATGACTCGTTCTTTGAGCAGAGCACCTGAATGATATTAGCATCTAGATCTTCTGGAACTTCAATACTATAAATGCATCCTCACCGAAACTTCACTAATATACCAATACCAGTACCATGAACCACAACACAAAAATGTCTAAATAATGACCTGCACCTTCATAACACTCCATCACAGAATCTTAGTGAAAGGTGAATGACTTTTCATTAATTTATAGAAATGTAGATCACAAATCTCAATAATAAAAAGTGACATTATTAAGATGATAAATATGCCTGCAAATTGGACTGTTTACCTCTCAATCTACTTTGTCAAAAGGAGCACTCTATCATTTTTGTGAATGAGAAATTGCTCTGCCTTGATCATCATTCATTGACTACATCCTCAGAAAGTGGATGTTTCCTTTTACCAGAAGTGTGATAAGAACTCCATCACCCTCATTCAGTTTTTTTTTGCAGACAGTTTTTTGCATAGCCTCTGAAGCATGGAAAAAATCCATGGCATCCTGGATTGTCCAAATTGCAGATGCCATTGTCAAATTCATTATTTCAGTTTTCTCGAACTTCCCAAATCGTATTTCTTTTGAGCTGCAACATGAACACAACTAAGTCATTTTTCAGCATTCAGGCATTAGTTTCCAAGGATATTTTAGCATTCACCAATGATGTTGGCATCAAAGTTGATCATGAACTTTGTGTCTGAATCAGACAAATTTATGGTCATGTGCAGGATCAACCACATTACAATGAATGTGGGAATTTTGATACGCATTCCAGTTGGAGTCCCACTGCAGGATGAGTTAGTCTTTCTATTACTTCTTCCCTCGGTAGTATGTACCTTACTTCCTACCACTTTCTTCCACTTCTTCAAAGTGTTGTGTCTCCCATAACACCCTGGATGTAGAAATGGAAAGTCTCCTATATTGATCTCCAAAAATCATCCCCAAGACATTTAGTCCAATCCTTCAATGAACTCATTGTGACAGGCTGATGTCATCTCTCATATTCAGACTTTGGAGCCCAACTACTTTGATTGACTGCCAATCACAGAACATCTTAACATTTCTGCAAAAGCAACTTCAAAGAAAAAGATATTTGAAATGGCACTAAATAAAAAAATTTAAGGCAAAGAAAAAACAGAAGTACAAAATATGAAAAAAAGTTAGAATGATTACAGAAGAAAGAAGAAAATGTCAATGAGAGCACACCAGGGTAAAGGAACCCAGATGATAGTAGAAGTAAAGATGCAAACACTGGATCTGGCATGGGAAAGACTGCTCTCCAAATATTCATTTTGATGTAATGGTTGGATAGTTAACAAAAAATGCTTGTGAATTTTCTCTGAGATGCATAACCAAAAAACATGGCCCTTGGGATGCACAATTTAAAAAAAATACCTTCGAACGGTTAAGATGATCTGGTTAGGTATGATCGATGGAACTCTACTGAGTCGGTTTTCTTGTCTTACAATCTCTGTTCCTTCGTCTCCTTCTCAGACCACACGAACCCCTAACTGATGAGAGGAAGCATTCGAAAGCTTCACAGAACTGAACTCAGATTTTGTTTGATTCAAATTGAATGGTCTCTGCTCATTACCAGATAACAGTCCCAGAGTCCAGTTTCATACCTAACTTAAAATGTTGGGTTTCTGACTCGACTTCGCGCATAATCGACTAGACAGTTCACCTAAGTCCAAGTGCTCTTATTCGATGTCTCCACTCAATGTATACTTGCTTCTGGTGCCGGTATGTACATGTTCTGGGAGGGAAGAAACTGATGTTAGCGTCTCGGATATCCTGGTGAGGATACAAGGTAGGGAGCATGCTTTAATTTGACATCCGCCTAGCAAGACCGTTCCTGTCACCTAAGTATCATGCCCGTGCAGCTGTTAAACGCGCCCAGAGAAAGTTAGTATGGGTGCGCTCTGGGGACGACGACCGGTATGAAAGATTCGGGAGTGCTGGGGAAAGGATCACCGAAAGGGAGAGCAGAGGAACACTCAAGGGAATGAAAACAGATGAACTTCCGCGGCACAACTTAGGCGCCATGCTGTATCACCACGTGATTGTAACAAGAGTCTTCGTGTGAACGTGTGAACAAGGTCTGCTACCCGACCCCCATTTAAATGCCCAAGCTGATTAGACCTCCTCACCCGAAGGTGCCATAAAAATGTCTTAATATATGACAAATGGGAATGGGACCAGGTGGGAGACCTAGCCCCAACATCCCTTAGGGTTCTTACCCTCCGGCAGTGTAAAACGGACACAACCCNCCCATTTAAATGCCCAAGCTGATTAGACCTCCTCACCCGAAGGTGCCATAAAAATGTCTTAATATATGACAAATGGGAATGGGACCAGGTGGGAGACCTAGCCCCAACATCCCTTAGGGTTCTTACCCTCCGGCAGTGTAAAACGGACACAACCCCATCCTTCAACCTCTCTTTCCCTTTCCTGTTTCCTTCTTTGTCCTTAAAGGGAACTTCTCAGCTCATTAGACTCACCTATTTTCGGAGAAGAAAATTTTAAAGGACCCTGCTGATCCTGGACATTTCGCGCTGTCGATTTGTCTGCCTAACGATCGTAATGTTCTTACAGCCTTCCCTTTAGATTTTTTCTGCGCAGCGAAAAACTTATTTAATTTTAGCCGTAATTAATCTTCCTTTGAACGAGTGAAAAGTCATGAAAACAGCAGAGAACGAGGAATGTCAGAGACCTTCAAATACTTCTTACCCATATAGACCCTAGGGAATTGATGATCCTTGTCACGTATCTTTGGCCCTTTGGAGAGTCTCGGCCCCTTATACTTTATTTTATTTCGGATTTAAGGTGTCAAGTTCTTAACATGTTGTTACCCAGCCTATTCCGTGCACAGTCCCAAAGCATCACTTTCCCTCTACACTTTGTCCCTTCTGACGAGGGGTGGATTTGCATAAAATTGACTTTAGGGCAATAAAGCTTCTACCGGAGGGCTTCTCTACTGCCTATTATGTTGCCCGCGAAAAGCGAACATGTCCCCTGCGAAAAATTTGGATTATTTTTACTTTGTGGTACATGGTATGCAAGAAATGCGTTCATAATGCCAACATTTTCAAATCACTATAACTCAAATAACAGCAGATTGTATCAATATTTTGAAGAAACATCTCAAGATCATACTATCATGANTTGGATTATTTTTACTTTGTGGTACATGGTATGCAAGAAATGCGTTCATAATGCCAACATTTTCAAATCACTATAACTCAAATAACAGCAGATTGTATCAATATTTTGAAGAAACATCTCAAGATCATACTATCATGACACAGAAAGACTGGTTTTTTTATGAAAGAAGGGGTTTTCAAATCGCGTACTCTCTTGTGCAAAATAATTATAGTATAGGGTGTCCCAGAATTTCCGTCCTTATTTTAAATTAAGTTTTCTCTTTTTATGTCACAGGTAGAAGTGCTGTTCCTGGTGCATCTTGAGGTCTAGACATAGAGGTTTCATTATGAATTGGTGGTCTGTACAAGAACGAGCTGCAATTATGTATGGGCGTTCCTGGCATGTCCGTATGTGGGCGATGCGGTTATGGTTAAGTGCGTACCCCCTAGGGATATTGTGTTGCCCCTAAAGTTGGACCAGGTTAGGTTAGATGTATGGTGTAGGTTAGGTCATGGGTGTCAGACTCAAATCGGGCGGCGGGCCGCATTCCTAAAGCCCGCCGCACACGATCCAACTTTTTGTTGCTTCACCGTCGCAGAAGGGACCCCGGGGGCACACGGAGCAATCTGCAAGCAATGTGATTGGTCGATGATAGAATTTGGGGCTGGCCTACATCGCAGCAACATCGCAGAAATCCATACTGAAATTTAAGGGAATAGAGAGCGGGCCGGATCCAGCACGCGAGCCTTATTTTTGACACCCCTGGCGTATATTATTTTAAAAGGAATCCCAATGTATGTGGCATGTTTTCAAACAAATTCATCCAACAACATTGAAGACTGGGGGAGTGCAATTTCTCTAGGGGGTACGCGCTTAACCGTTACCGACGATGCTAACTTTAATCTGACTTCTGTTGAAGGGCCGGTGAGATCCGTAATTAAATACGAGATGATTCAACAACAGGAATAAAATTTATATCTCACAATGAGAGACTACTGACCAGTAGAAAGGTCCACCCGGGTGGCAAGAAGGACGGATCACATCCACACGTATATACACACCAAA